ATATGGTTAGAAAATGCTTGGTTTTGCGCGCTTGCGCAACGAACTGACAAATCCCGACCCCTTCTGTTTTCTAAAGGCTGGAAAAATATCAAAATAAAAGATAACGAGGACACCTGTCGACTTTTCTTGGGGATCAGAAACTGCGACTTCTAGGGATCACCGAATCCCAGATAGCTATTCCTCTTGTTCAAATATAACACACGACGTCACAAGAGCAGAATGCAGAGAAATATTGAAAGTAGATCGAAACTTATCATAACATCATATTTGAGCCACTTGCATCACAGACTGAACGCTAGATTGAAATATTATGTGCTAAATGCTTAATTGAAACTCGGGTTGATTCACGTCAGGTCACATGGTAACCACGCGAAAGCGAACATCAATAACACCTTTCCAGGGTGCATATGCAATGCTAAGCCAAATAGTATTAATTGTATGATGAAATGACGCTTGGTTAAAACGATAAACTCATAAATGTTTGGAAATAGTCATTTTCCAGCCCGATACAGCTTTTCATTGATTTTTACAATGAACCCCATGGCCTGGAAAATCCCCACCGCTTTGATTTTTGTTTCCAAATGCTAGTAATGTGGAAAATGCAGGATAACATGGACATCATCGGTCTTTTCTGTGGCATCAGAAGCTGCGACCTCTACAGGTAAAAAAGATAGCATCGATGTTTGGAACAGGCAAACATCGTACGCGATGCTAGATAATCAGTTTTGCGATATGCATGAAGTACAAGTTCTATGCACATCTATACATGTTTTCATTGAATATGCATACCGGTTGGATTACAGGTGGAAGAAGTAAGCGACCGACCCAGGGGTGCGGTCATGTTAATCATATGACTTTGCTTGAACAACGATAAATGACACCGTTTCAGACAGTACAAAACACACCAAGTAAAGGGGTCGAAATACCTCGAAAGTGGGCTTTATCAAAGTGTGGAAACCGATCAAAGAACAGTTTAGTCGTATTCTCTCAGAAAGCAGCCTCGTCGACTTTATCAATAAGCTCTAAGATACGGAAAATCCCAACTCATTCTGTAACATGTAAATTTCTGCGGGTGTAGAACATTCGAGATGATTCAGACAGCTCCTGACTCATTGTGAGACACCCAAAATATATGGCTTTTGGTTAACACTGACAACCAGATTGACAATCGACACTCTAAATCACTTCACATAGCGGTTAGGCGAAGTTAAATGAGACTGACATAAAGCGATCTCAGCTTGTTGCAACCAAGTCGCGTGTCAATCGCACCCGACACTTATATGCAAAGTGCGAGTTAACCACTTCGTAGGTGAGTTAATGTTAGGTCACTTAATGTCAGTACTAGGTTACGTGATGCAACTGGTCTCCGAGAACAAGTCAAGTCACTCCCTTTCCAGCCAGGTCCTTTCCTGATTTTTTACATTGTCAGTCTATTGAATGGCACGAAACAACTGCAGCGCCCAGCTCGCTTCTTTGGGTGACTCTTCGCGTTGGGTACGCACTGCCGAGTTCAGTTGCCAACCTGCATTTCTTTGCGACGCTGTGCTTAGTGCACATGTTTATGTTACCGCCGTCGAACGGTTTCGTTTTAATTCGTTGCACCTGACATCACAGGCGAATCAGGTGACGGAGATTTGTTACGGCGAGTCAGGCAAGCGATGCCACTACGCCTGCTCACTTAAAGTTTTTGACTCATCGGCCGCGAATAATTCAAACGTGGCTCCGTGGTCGCACCACAAATGGTCTCCTCGCCCCACCTCCGTGAGGTTAGCGATTTCTCGTATGATTTTTGTTCGGCGGCGAGATCCAGTTTCGATGGACGCGTGTTAGATGATCAATTACTGCACGAAAACACCAAACCTAACGTCTATTTTTCAACATCACGTGACCTTCAAAACAAAATTCAAGTCCAGATAATCAGGAATGTACCTCATCAAAACGTTTCCATTCGATTTCTCAATTTTATGAATCAGATATATCTTCAGCGCACCAAATAGCGTTTTTCAAAACATCCTGACCTCCCTCGGTCACCCTTTAAGATGAAATTTAAAGTCAAATGACGCAGAGTTCCTCATCAACCAAAAGATGCCGATCAAATTCGGATTTTCAAGCGGCTGAATTATCTTCAACGCAAAAACCAAGCATCTTGAAGGGTAATTTTGAGAGGTCAGAACTTTTTGACTGACGCTAGCCTATGCGCTGAAGACCATTCTAGTGCTGAAAAATCTGAAATCGACCGGCATCGTTTAACGGATAGGAAATTCCCGTCACTTAACCTAAAATGATGACCTTGAATAATATGAATCTTTTGACGGACGCTAGTGGTTTTGGCGGACCCCTTTGATGGACGAACTCTGATGCTTAAAAATCTTGATCGATCGATAGCTTTTAGGTGATAAAGAGTTCTCCTTCGCTTGAGGAGGAATTTGACCCTGAGGAGTGATCTTGAAATGTCAGGTCTTTTTATGGACGCTGTTTTAGGTGCTAGAGGCTCTTCCTATGCTTAAAAATCCTAAATCGGCCTGTGACCTTTGAGTTATATGAAACTTCTCATCATTTCACCTTGAATTTGATCTTGAAGACTGATCTTGAAGGACCAGGAATTCTTGACTGACGCTATTTTATGGGCTGAAACTATTCTGATGGCTAAAAATTCAAAATTTGGCGGTAACGTTTGGTTGACATGGAGCTCCCCGTCATCTGACATTACATTTACTTCCAAGGTCACTGACTATTCACAAATAGACGATAGGTCCACTGCTCTTGAACTTCCGACGCATTTTTTAAAGAAATCAGAACTCGTCGCTAAAAACACGCGAATCAATCATTGACTTTACTGACGTCTTATGGAGTTGAAACAAATGGACCTACAACTACCCGTATGCGTGTAATGATGCATGCAAAGAAAACAAAGCTGTCAAAAAGTTAGTTCAAGCCGTTTTCTAACCATTTTTGAAAAGGTTTGGGGGAGGGTGCACATCCATTACTTTCCCCATACATTTTTGATACAAGGCCGTTGCGAATGCACGCTCGCCCTAAGTAGTGACGTCCCGGCCCTTTGATAGCCTACTTTAGTTTGCCCACAGAAGGGCAACTAAAAAAGACATTTAACGCTTATTTATAGCCGGAAATGCATTAGAAGGTGTTTATATAGACCCATCATCTTATCTATATCACCCTGCCGTGCATTACTGTTGTTCTCATGACCTTTTCAAGCTTAGGTTAAGGTCAATCTAAGTTAAGAACTGTAAGTTATTGACAATATTTTCTCTTTGGAGAACTTAAATCACATAACGATTTAGACATTGATGGCACATACCTTAAACCTTTCGGAGGCCATTCTAATGCTGTTCTCGTCATTGATGTGAATTCAGTTGTTCCTGACGGACAAATTAACGAATGAAAAACCACTTTCATCCCTTGGGCCTAACATGGCTTATCGCAGTTCACAAGTGCCGATTTCCGCCGGTGCCTACCTGATATATTTTTGTTTCCAGGAGCTACTCAACGCCACATTGCTCGTTCCCGTAGTGCGCTTAGTTCTTGAGATGCCCAGCATGTGTCTTTTAAGCGTAAATGTGACCAATTTGACCTGGTTTGACCTGTAAAAGACCAGATTCCCAATTGTTCAGATACCACCTGCCTGATGCAGTGAGTTGAGAGCTTTCCATTACTTTTAAAATAATCCCGTAAGGCAGATGTATATTAACACGCGCCCGAGTGGTCGGCTGGATACCCTTCGCTCGGGTGGGGTGGGGGGGGGAGTCAAGTTGACCCCCTGAAATCTCGTCGAGGACTAACGTCGAGCTAGAGACACTAAATTCACAGGGTATGTTGACCCGTACGTGAACTCACATAGGTCAAATTTTGAGATTCCTAGGTTATGACCTTCGGATCCAATAAAGTCAAACAAGGTTAAACTCCTGGTTGGTCTCCAAAATGCTCCCAGAACATAGGTAACTGATTCTAAGCAAAAGGCCACATGCTCATTTGATATAAGTGACTTTGTCTGACCTTAAGAAGGTCATGGTGACCAAATTCATACAAGACTGCTTTGAGTTTGTATTTGAATAAGCGACAAAGATTACGCTAGGCAGTGCGCTCCTAAAAGCCAAATGTTGACCTGGGTCATGTTAAGTCAATGACCTATTCTGACCTCTAAGAAGTCCATGGAAGATGCATAATGCGGTTCCTGCTATCAATTAATTCGAAATGAACACTGGGAACCATCCCATACAGCAAGCCCTGGAGGAATAAAACAGGTTGGTTTTGACCTTGGTATGACCTTCATACCTGACCTTACACCAGTGCGATTTGCTCATTCAGTTGTTTTGTTGTCTGAGAAAGCATTTCAGAGATGTATGGCTTTGCCTAACACTCTGTTGTTGGATCAGATTGAACGATTCCCTAGAAATTGGCTTCGCTGAAACCATGGCATGGCTTTGACCTGCCTTAGGTTAACGACCTTTCCAGGTACATCTAAATTTTGTTCACCAAACGATCCGCTATTCAGTTTTCTACAGCCCGCCACGCTGTTTGGAAAGCATTCTGGAAAAAGCTTCGGGAGGGGTCAATTTGACCCCCCTCCGAGCGCGTGTTAATATGCCTATGCTGCCATCGCTTGGGATAAGGCACTGTCGCGCAATGGATCTGCATTGCAATCGCATCGCCAGTGTATGCGCATTGAGGGCATGTCAAGAAAAGATTGGAGATACGATGTTCAGGGTGTGTTATGTTCAGTGGGGTTATGTTCCCCCTTCTTACTACCATACCAGCTGATTTCAACGCTCAGTATTCATTTTATGGCGCGCGCACGGCTGGCAATATACGGTGAAGCGGCGAGCGCCGTTTTGTTCTGCCGTTTCCTGGTATGATCGTGCTTTGTGTGGGATGTATTCCAACTTATACAGATAAGGAGCCGTAACATATAATGCAAAGACCTGCAGTATTTCACCAACGACTGTTTGGCATGTTATGAACTTAATTATTTCCATCGAGTTTATTTCGTTTTCATCGTACAGAGCGAGACAAGACCACATAATCGTTCGTGATGGCATCGTGGCATAGTGACACAGTCTAGTAAGAAAAACGGCCTGCGCACTTGTATCGCGTTCTGCGAGCGGCTCCTTGGCGTTCGCACTCGCCCTTTGCTCCGGTCTTCCATAAGGATAAAATGGTCTTGCGTTTCAATTCGCGAAGTGAGAACAGGTCACACGGTTGGCTAGCATGTCACCATTGGCTCCCTCACATCTGTGTCCACCCGTTGCTCCGCTCTTTCCATGCTGCGGCGCTGGCCGCTTTCTGGCTCGCTGGAGGCTGGGATGATCCACCTCCACGTGCAATACCCCAACGACAATTCATTCATCCACGACCTCGGAATACCGCCCTCCCCGATAAAGCATCATAGTGCAATGAGAGCTGAACATTACGACGAACCAGTGCTATGACGCGATATGCCGACTCACTGGAGCTCTCATGAACTCAGATCATGCTCAGAATCGAATTCGTCCTGTTCAGAAGGCGAGTCAAGATCCGCGCTCCGTAACGTGCTGATCAGTGGGCTGCCTTCCGTTGCATCATTGATATTTCTCGCCTTGAGCCATCGCCTGAAATAGGTGACGGGCTTATTTTGCATTGCACTTGGTGCACGCGGCATGCGATGCAATCTGTTGCATTGTGTCTCGAAACATGCGGCAGAAGAGCACCAGGCGCGCCGGAAAGCGCCGCCAGGCGCCACCGGGGAGCCAACAGCCTAGCTACTTCTTGGAAAGTGAGCCCAAACACTCTTGGGGGGCAACAATCCCTTCCATGCACCACCGCAGTAACAGCGTAAAATCTCAATGAGACAGGGGTGAGGGGAATCGCATTCCTACGACCTGCAATTGCCATGCGCGCAAACACCCATTCCACTGACACACCTGACCGTAACATTGAGTATGAACGTGATGGAAACTCCCTCTTTGTGAAGCTTATCTCATTCGCTAACCCTGAGGTTCACAGCCGGGATATCGGCTGGTCATGCCACCCAAGCCTACACCAGAGAAGCAAACTGACGTAGATTGGTATATTTCACCGGATTTTCTCTTCTCTAAAAACATTTGCAAGCCCTACCTGGCTGTGTGTTCATTAAACTTGATTCGCTTTCTGAAGAACAGCATGCGATTTCATTCAGACTCGAATGTGGAGTAGTGCAGCGCAAATATTGAGGCGGCTTACACCCCTGCTAACGCTGGACCATCCAGGAATAATTTCTGTCGGCTCGGCTCCAGGAGAGTAATGTAAGCAAGAATGGCCTCAAGCTTCCGGCTTTTCGGTGTTATCAGCTTTTATATAAAAAACCGCGAAGTTACAGGAAATATTGATGAAACGAAAGTATCGGAAAATAATTTGGATATATCATAAAATTATCTACCGAAGATTTCAGCTCACAATGTTTCCAGGAATGGCTTAGCGATTCTATTGACCAGCTTCTAGAACATTGTGTGGTCTTTGACCTCAACGGAATCACATTTCGCACACTCACACTGTCTCCACACAGGACTGCTGCCTCTGACTGAGCCGCGGCGCCTTGTTAGCATCAGATATTTCACGCGGCAAACGCTTACTTGAAGACGTTCTCGCTGCCGCCAAGGAAATGCACATGGACGAAGAGGACGGCCATCTGGAGACTGTCCTGCAGCGCCTCGTAGATCGGCACGGACATCAGCACCAGACAGAGCTTCTCTTTGCCGTAGGTCGTCTGCGCGCCCTCCAGCCTACTGAACGGCTGCAGCCTCTCCAACAGTTGGTGGCAGCGCTGCAGCAGCCCACGCCCCTCCGTGTGAGGCGTAGGCCGCGGGACGGCTTCGGGCTGTACGAGTCAGGCGGTAGTCAGGCCGCACGCCAAGGTACATTTTAAGTGCGAACTGCGTCCCTGCTCCACGTAACATTCACGGACTGTGTCCCGTCTTCACACAACACCCACCGACTGCGTCCCGGCTCCAAACAACACCCACCGACTGTGCCCCGGCTACACGCCACACGCACCGACTGCGTCCCGGCTCCACGTAACACCCACCGACTGCGTCCCGGCTCCACGTAACACCCACCGGCTGTGTCCTGGCTGCACGCGACACCCACCAGCTGTGTCCCGGCTGCACGTAACACCCGCCGCCTACTGTGTTCCCGCTGTACACAACACCCACCGACTGTGTCCTGGCTCCGCGTTTCACCCACCGGCTGCTCCGCGGCTCCGATAAGCGAGGCCATCTGCTCCAGCCGGTTGAACCATGCGGCGTTGCGCACCACCACGTCCTCCTGCTGGCTGCGCCGCTGCACGCGCCGCCGGATGGCCGGCATGTCGGCGCCGGCCGTGCGGTACGGCGGCACCAGGTACTCCACTTTACGCCGGTACCGCTTCGCTCGGTTGTCCTCCAGCTTGTGAATCTGCTCGGCAGTGGTTAGCCCGTTCTGCTCCGGCTGCTCCAGCGGTCATCCAATTTACGCCAGGTGGGACGGCAGACTATTAGGCGAGCACAGGCCAAAGCGGGCGGGCGGACGTGCGGGCGTCTCTGACTAGTCAGACCATTAGATGAGAGGCCGACAGGACAAACATTCCGGCAGCGACCCGGCCCAGCACGCCTCCCTGCACCACATACCTTGGCGATGTACTGCTCGTTCATCTGGTTGAGCGTCGTCTGCTTGATCTGGCGGCAGCGTTTCATGATGAGTTTGGCGTCCTCGGCCGAGCTGGTGTGCAGATCGGAGATACGCCGTTCGCCCAGTTCCGACTCCTCGACCGTCTGCCACGGCGGGTGCAGCGTCTCCATCAGCCAGACGACCGGCCGCTCCACCCGTGGTCGCTCGGCCTCCGAGGTGACGTCACTGCCACCTACCGGTGGTCAGTGAAGGAACGGAGTACGGATTCACGGAACCACCTCTCAAGGTAAGGGTCACTTGCCGGTATGCAGCGCGCCTTGCCGGGGCACATGGTCACCAGCAAAGGTAAGATGTTACCTTTGGTGAAGGGTTTCCTAGATGCAGAGTCCCCTGATGACGTACATGGTCACCTGCCGGGGTACAAGATCACTTTGCCGTGGTACGGGCCGCGTGCCAGTAAAGAAAGTCATCCGCCGGGGTACAGGACGACGTGCAGGGGTACGACGCCACCTGCCGGAGAATAGGATCACCTACCGCGGTAGAGTGTCACTGTTAAAGACACCGAGACGCCTGCCGGGGTGCAGGATCGCATGTCGGTATGCGGACTCACATGCCGCCTGCACTCATAAAGGGCACTGTGTCACATGCCGCCTGCGGGGTGCAGTGACATCGTCATCTACGTATGATCAGACATCCTACGTCGCCGGGCTGCATCGTCAAAAGACCGCGGTACAACAGGCCGCGGTACAACGCCGTCTTTACCAAACGGAATGCAGTGTAGCGGCCATCATCATCTAATGTTTTCTTTGATGACTAGCCAGGGTCATCTTGGGGGTGGACAGTGGGACAACATTTGGTGGACTGTTGGCAGGGGGTTGGATATTTGTTCATGCCATTCCACCCCGGCTCGGGGATTACTGCCTGTTACTCCTACCCACGCTCAGGATCAGCTCATCAAAATCGGGCTGGGCGGTGGTCAACCCGGGGTCTCGGCGCCTTGGATTGGGTAAATCGGCCGACAGGTCATATGTCAGAGTTTGGCGTTCAAGAGCATCGAATTTGCAGCCAACAAGTAGGTGTAAGGTCCGCTGGGGAGCCAGAAAGCTGTTGGCATAAACTAATGTTCACATGCTTCTCATCAGATTTCATCAAACCAGGAGAATGTTGGAAAGCTGGCGCTTGGTATGACGAAGGAAGGATTGCAGAAGCACCATGTGTATAGATAATCCTGCCTTTAAGCATGCCTTTAAGGTTGAGGGTTGTGGCGTGTGCCTACAATGGACGGAGGATTTCAGTGACAGGACCTGAATTATCACAGAAACTACAGAACAGCGTGTCGCCCAACTGTTCCGAGCGTTCTCAAGACAACGAGCGTGTGGACCGCGGAGCTGGCGGGCATCCCGGAGTGTTGAAGTGGTTCCGGCGAGACCACCGACCGGTGGGCGCGCCACCGGCGAGCCCGCCCCACCTGCGGAGGTGGCGGTCGACTGGCGACGCGGCCTGAACAGGGCTCGTCCGAGCTCGGACGAGCGGGCCAGGCCGGTGGAGCGGCGCTGCCACTGGCGCCCCCCACCGGCCGCGCAGTCGTCCATGTAGCGGCGCACCAGCTGGTTCCACTCGCGGCGGTGCGGGATGACGCTCTTGGAGATGGCCCACGGCTCCTGCGCCTGGGCCAGTACTCCCCCTGCGGACGGGGGCGACGCGAGCCGTCCGTGGACGTTAACACCCGCCCTAAAGCAGGAGCGCCAGTTAGGTGTCGAAAGGTTCGTGAGAACCAAGCGCGTCAGTGAAGGTAAAGGCTTGTGCACACTAGCACTAACTGCATTTAAACCACCAGAGAGTTTTCATTCATGACATCGGATCAGACTGTAGGTAAGAGACCATTGCCCATTTCATGATTTGCATATGCCAACACCCCAAGTAAAAGTTATCTGACATGGTGCGGTGTCTTTAGCTCCTTCGTCGTCACTATAGTATACTTTCAAATGGATCAAAATAATGACACGCACAATAACTCAGTCAGCAAGACGACAATCAAATACGTGTTTCTAAACGTTTCCTTATAGATGCTTAATGTCCACGGAAGTCATGCGTTCTTTCCGGACTTTACTTTCAAAGAGTGGGCGGCTCAAACATCTGCTGTAATGTCGTCCGCTTTCCCTCCGGTCCCGACTGCGTGACAGCTGCATGTACTCGTCTGAATTCTGGTCCCCGTACTTCATAACCCACATGGCTCCGGGGTACCTGTCCAGATAAGAGCGCGGCTCCAAGTTAGCGCCTTTGCTACATCCCCGGTGATTGCACGAGGCTGCGTGGAGAAATACACAAATGCGACGGTTATCAATGCACATCAACTGTTCCGCGTAACGGTCCACGTTCGTCAGTTTCGTCACAGGTACCACTCAGACAACCAGGCTGTCCAAATGTTGCAAGGCCGAATGCCAATGCTGCGACCTTAGTTGTTCTTATCCCAAAAAGGGTGCAAACAAATGTAGAACGTCGACGCATCAGACTTTGGAAAATAAAACGTCCACGAGTACGCTGGATGTTTTAATGCCTCGGAGTCTGACCAACCTGTTAACATCCGCGATGGGAGAGGTAAAGTTAGCGCTGATCAGTTCGAAGTCGTCTCGGTCCAGTGCTCGCATTATCCGTTGCGGTAACGGATAATTGTTTTTCAACCAGCTGAGCTTGATCCTGTCCAGTGCCTTGAAAAGAAACGGCATTCTTTCCAGGATGTCAAAGAAATGGTTGACTTTTCGTGCGTCCACATTGTCCCGCATGCACGCGTATACCTGGGACGCGTCTGGAAACCAGTCTCCAGGAAAGCTTTTCATTCGCGGTCGGTGCTCATCATCAACAACTTCCACTGCTTTCTCATAGTTCTGTCCAGCCGTGGTGCGAAACATCACGGCATGCGTTCGAACCAAGACGCTTTTCAATTCACTATAGCCCGGATCAATATAGCCACCATGCATGGTGGGCTTGGATACTATGCTCCGAACCGTACGACGACCGGGAGCGTCACGCCCCTCACGCAACTGTCGGGAAGCAGTCCACACCGGCTTGAAGGGGCCGCCTACTTCGACTTGCATGTGTGATGCGGTTGCCGCCATGATTTTCAGCCACTTAATTACCAAGCAGGCACTGACGGATCTCGTTTGAACCCCACGGACATTCACACGTACGGTTCGGTGTCGTTCAAATCCTCACTCGAGCCAATTCGTTGATTCGGTCGTCTGCGACAGGATTCAAATAGTTCTTAATAATACTGATTAGTACGATTAACACCGACCTCACAATGCAGCAATCGACAGCGTACTTATATGACGTCTCTGCAGGGATCTGGCCGTACCCACGTTATTGACCTGTCCATGCCTCCACTTTCTTCCAAGGATTTTAAGGGATATTATACGAAATGTTCATATTTTTGTCGAACGTGGACAAAGGACGTCGTTACCTCCGCTGCGGAATACCCTCGCGGCAATCTATACCAACCATCCTTGCAAACAACCATAGCAACATTGAAACAGTAACTGAAGCAGTAAAAAGGCAAACCTCTCATTGAATAGAAATACTGGAATTGAACCTCATGAGACAATTCAAGCTATCGGAAGACGTGCCATGCACGGTGCATGGTCCATGAAAGAATAATGCGTTGATGTAGCAATAGCATTTCCGGAAATTAAAGACACATTCACCTAAAACTGCACTGCACAAACGATAAATCAAACGTATATACTACCATCCTGGCTAATGCAACAGCAACGACAATGTTTCATAGGGCTATGGTCTATTATTTTATTCTATCCTTTTTGCTTATGCTCCTAATACCACGTTCTTATTATAAGCTATAGTTCTTTGTAAGCGCAATGCTTCTATTTCAACAATTAAAAACATGTCAGTGTAAAGAAGCAGACAGCTTTGAACCTAAATGGAGAATATCTCTTGACTTGTTGTAGATATGGTACACTCTATAACGTGTTCGAGCGGGTGGCCTTTAGGATTCGACCGTTACTTTTTCCGTTGTCGCATGAACCAAAGTATTGAGACGCTGTTCAGAGTATCTAAATTTTTAACCACAATTTTTTGGTCCGTATCATATTGTCCAAGGCACAGAATGACCAAAGCTACAGAATGCCCAAAGTACAAAATGTCCATGGTAGAGAATGTCCGAAGTTCATAATGCCCAAAGCACACAGTGTCCAAAAGGAGAAATAACTTCTAACATGGTGCAGAGTGGAAGCGGTCCGTGTCACAATGCTCAATGTCCAGAATGTCCAAGGTATAGAATGTCCGAAGTACAGAATGTCCAATGTACATATTGTCCAAGGTACAACATGCCCAAAGACCAAATCTTTCAAAGTAGTTCCTAGAGCGGCCGCCAGGGTATGAACAACCACCCTTACTGGCAGGCAGCGTTGCCCCGCCCAGCGCCGGCCGCGCGCATACAGTCAACACCGTTACGAAGACTACGCGCGTGAGGCTGGCCGACAGGATTGCTAGCTTAGGGACAAATCTATGTCCGCTACATGACGCAATGGAGCCGGCTGAAAGTGCCGCCCTGAGAAATAGTCAGTCATTGTCAAAGTTGAACCCGGTAAGGTTTGTCTGCATTTTGGGCTGCTAAAAAACATTGAGAGCAGGCGGAATTTGAAATGGAATTATAGACGCGCTATGCCCGACAATCTAATTGTCGAAATCGACACTCGCATTGGTCAATTCTGATCGCCGCTCTTGACTGCCCGATTGTCAGTATCATGCAGACATAATAAGTTATGGTTAATAAGTTCAAATAATTTTAAATAACAAATAAGTTCGGGTACTAATGGTTTCCGGCATCATACACCAGCATTGTGGTTACTATGGGGTGGTTTTCAGCAATAGCAAGTTATCATCAAAATGTTTCGTGGTTAGTAGTGAATATAGTTGAATGAAGTGAATGTTCTTCAATATGGTATCATAGAAACACCCCATATCCAGCACGTGCGGAGAGCTGATCGAAACACAAACGGTCAAATTTGAAGTCATAGATGGTCAACATCAAGTATTAGGTCAAGCTATTCAAGGCCATGACTAAAGCGCCATTTCTAGATGTGCTTCACGTGAGAAACGCTGCTCACGTGACGTCCCAACATGCTGCATGCCTGGTTGTCTCGAACAAAGTTGACGATTGCACACAACGATTTAAATATATGAATACTTGTCTCCTACCGTTAAAATGTCTTCTTTAGAGCTAGTGTTTTTTGTGTGCATTGCTGCATCGATCAAGCTACGCACTCGATCCAGTTACTTAATTTGACATTAGGTACACTTAACATGTTTACTTGTCATGCTTTCCTCGTAACGATACGTACACCTTCCGTATACGTGCGCCACTGTGGTGTCCAATGAACCGGTCTGAAATCTTACGTTTCGATTATCACACATGAACTGTCCCTGTACTAAGTACCCGGAGATTTGATATCTTACCCGTTTTTAAAAAAAAATACTCATTTTTCTATCCTTTGCCGCATACATGACGAACTTTTACCCCCAAAACAGAAATATATATATATATATATATATATATATATACATATAAGGAATAATATAGGAATTGGAACTCATGTTACACTGCTCAGCCCTCAGAAAACGAGGGCAAAAAAGCTAAAAAACTAAATAAAAAAGCTAGCGCTACTTGGGCTGAATAGCTAGCGATGTAACGTATATATACTTTTTATCGTAAAACTCAGTGGCAGATTATTTTTTTGGAGGGGGCCCAAAACTTAAGGGTACCCCACAATGTTGCGTCCCCCTCACGACATCCTGGATCCGCTCCTGTTTGTAATCATTCCGCTGTGTGCAGTGGTAGCGCAGTATATCCCCGTTCTCACATAACGCCATCTATAAAGACGTGCTCCACATATGCAGAATGCGTTTGCTTCATCTTTTTACGGCTTTTTTAACGTGAAGAGGAATTACATCAAGGAGGCGCAATACAAGCGGCACCCGACACTTGTTTTTACGGGTATATATTGTCATGGAAAACGAGGAGCACTTCCCATTTAATTTGATTTTAAACACATTATGCTCACACGACTGAAGGCCAGAAGAAACGCGCAACGCTCTTAATGCTTGATATTTCATGGCTGCTGGTTGTTTAGTCATGGGCGTGCCGACGCCAAATGTAGTATAATCGGGGCACTATGGGCTTGAAGCGTATTCCTGTGGTTCAGGTCCTATCTGGCGTTCAAATGAAATGTCGAGGAAGCAACCAACTTTATTGCGCGCTCTGTGCCGGTATGACAGACATGTTGGGGGTATCGTTTCAATTTTTATCAAATAAATTTAACTAGTCAGTCTCCTAGGCTCAGATTTAGAAAAAAAATCGTCAATATATCTGACGTACAACCTTGATTTAGGCCTCATTTCGAAAGACTGCTGAATGAAAACAAATGCTAGAGCTAGGGGTGGTGCACAGCTACTACCTATAGCTATGCGTTCAAGTTGTGCACTGAGCTTGCGAAGAGTACCGGTCTATTGTCAAATCTGCGAGATGGTTTTTGAAACCACGTCAGCGAACACTCAGGTGGTGTAATACCGAAGGATGATACGCTATCAGGTTTTCCTCGATTTTGCTCACTGTACCGACCATATTTCTGTTAACGGAGAAGTTGTGCAAGAAATTGCTGTATTCTTTGCCACGTTTAGTGTTTTTGCGCTTAGTGATAGTATCTGAACTGTCATCCTGTTAGACTTTATTATCTATGCCCTGTCTGAATTAATCTTTTCTTCCAGTTATATGCCATATAAAACCATGATCTCACATCCGACATACCGATGACATTTGCGCGTTTTGGTTCATGAAACTAGCTCATGCAGGGCTTTTTGTCGAAATCGATAGAAAAAAGACTGCCATAAAACCTTCATCAAACTTGTCATATATACCTTAATCATAAGCGAGGGAACGCTTCAAAAAGTGGGGGCGGGGGGGGGCTAACCTCAGGGTGTACTTCAGGAGCTTTTTTCTGGAAAGCGAGCCCGATGACCGGCGGGAGGGTGATAGGGATGGAAGTTCCTATCGCTCTTTATTCAAATGCCATGTTTGCTATGTTAAATATGCCTCTAGAGCTGTTTCTCATTGGTGCACGATCTTGCCTATTCGACTCATTTGTCATTTGGCAAATAAAGCCATCCAGCTTATCAAGATTATTCGTCTATTTTAACACTATCTTTCCTGAGCAGGCAAAATTGCACGAGCCGGTAAGCAATTTGAGTCATTGAGGAGGCATCTGCCCCCACAGTGTAGATGCCAAAACACGGCCTGGACATAGGGTAGTGAGAATTCTGAAAGTGGATGGATGGCTCACAGCACGACAGATTTTTCGTACGCCTTCACTTTGCTGGCTGCTTTTCAAGAGATAAGACTTGTCACAGTATTTTAGGCGAAAACAAAATCGGGAGCTTGAAACTGCCAGAAACAATGTGGAAAAAGCCGTAAAATTGCAGATTCTCTCTTAAGAGCCAAGCCACATCATAAGGCCCATCTGTCATATGTTTCTTATCTGGGCCCTGCTCCTGCCCGCCGTCGGTGGCCACTGCCCTGGCCCGGATGTCTCCCACATGACTGACTGCGAACTGATCGTATGGCAGCTTTGTTGCATGCTTCTAGATCAGCGTTACTACTACATAGTGTATGAAACATGTGTTGGACACCGGCAACAGTGCCTTTTTCCGAATTATCTTCTCTCACACCACATCATCGCAGAGAAATAGCATCCGGGAGCCTGTCGCCTTGGGTATGGGTTGCCTCAACGGACACTTCATTGCCCGTCATGCAACGTATAATACTTGATCTGCTTTTGTGTGAAGGCAGGGGCGTAGCCAGAGCCTTGCCAAGAGGGAACGCAGGGTTGATTAAAGCCCATCTTATGGTGATCCCCCCAAAAAAATCCCGGATATAGCTTACATGTTAACAAGGGACACGGTTTTCTCGTTTCATTGTTATTTTTACATTGTAACACAAACAGAAACCAGGAGCTACCGTGAGCTGAATTCTGTTTGTATTTTGAAGTCAATAAACTGCAGAAATCAAGCGTTGAGCGACTGTATGGAATAAATCACCGGCGCTCTTAATGTACGGTGGTTTAGTTGACTCTTTCTAAGCCGATTTAGTTCAGAAACTTTGTCAGATTTTTTACCTAGGTTCTACAGGCATTGAGGACATTGCGAAGGTGGATTGTAGATCGATGTGTTTCATCCAAATTTGAAGATGAAAATTTGATTGCAGACCGAATGGTCAACAATGTGTATTAACATGGCCAAGCCACGTTTGCCTGAAAATGCTCGCCATTGAGTCAGAATGGATTAGTGATACAATTTATGT